AGATGGTCTCACTATGTAGCTCTGGCTGTCCTAGAACTCCCTGTGTAGCCCAGGCTGGCCTTGAACTCACAGAGCTCTACCTGCCTCTGCCTCCCGAGTGCTGGGATTAAAGGTGTAAGGTGTGCGCCACCACTGCCCAGAGGGCAGCCCCTTCTTTAGCTCATCTCTCTTCTCAAATTCCACCAAATCCATCTAGAAGAAAGCTGACCTCCACGCTCTCTGCCAGATCTCCTCTACTGGACAGTGAGTTCATTCTGAGCCGTTCTCGATGTTAGCGAAGGTAGACAGACTTAGCAAAGCATCCACCCTTACATGAGGGCCCTACTTCCAGCCTCCAGGGTCATGTTCCTCCCTGTCTTCAGAGCTTGAGTTCCCTCAAGCTCTTTCCATGTCCCTAATGGTCTTCTGAAAAACTTTCCCGTATTTTCCATCTCTATCTCAAGATCCTGCCACTTTCCAGACACCTCTTGATCCCAAAGCCAAAGTAATAATTCCAAGCGTTATCTCTCACTATACAAAATCCAACCCTAAACCTAGAAGCGGCTGAAAACAAGTTTATCCCTAGCTCCCAAGTCCTGCAAACCAGCCGGACTCCACTAGGCAGTCCTCCCTTGGGTATTCTCACACAGCTACAGTTGGAAGACAGCTGGGTGTGGGCACCCGGGACCAGCAGCTGATGGAGTGGTCAGTCCCAAGTTCAGCTGGTGTTGACAGGAGAGGCTACATATGTAGCCTCGTGTGGTTTGGGATTCTTCTGATCTTGAAGCTGGGTTTTCAGAGGGCACATCCCAAGAAGGAGCCTTCTAAGAGGCAGGAAGCAGAAGCTGCCAGGCCTGTTAAACTACCCAGGACTGGCATGGTGAACACTTCTGCCATCTTCTGATCAAAACAGTCACAGGGCGAGGGCATTTCACTGGCTAGGGAAATCGGGATGGTTGCTTTGTATAAAACATGTGGGTAAGAACTATTGTTACAGTCATGTTTGGAAACAATAATCATCCCGGTTGAAATAAAACGGTGAATTCCAGCTTCTCCAGTGCACTTACGTGGTCATACCCTGAGTGTTGTTTAGACTGGCGCTCGCCCTCTGCTATGAGGAGCCAGTGTTCTGAGGTGGACCGGTGGCCGACACAGGCACTCACTGGCATGTGTGAAGGTTCATCCTTGACAGGGAGCTCCAAGGACAGACTCTGTGAAGAAGGGCTGTCATCCATTACACCAGGCATCTCCTTGGCCTTCAGTCAAGTGGTGTCACACTGCTTAGAAACTTTCCACCCTGCATAAATCTCAAAACCGTTGTTAAGTGGACGTAAAAATGAGAGCAGACATTCTATAGTCAATCATATTTATCGCACATGCCTGCGTGTGCACATTTCCACCCCTCCCACCCCCAGAGAACGTACAAACACAGATTAAATAAAAGCATGGCAATGAGGGGAAGCCTAACCCCAAGGAAGCTCAGAACCAGGATTTAAAGAGCATCTAATGCAACCAGGAAGTGGGCACTACTTCCCTTAATTCTTAGAGTGCCCTATGATGCTCTTCAGTTTCCTAAGAGAAAATGAGGCTCAGAGAGTCTAAGTATTTTGCTGAAGGTTGCATGCTGGTCACTGGAAGAGCTGAAATACAGGTCCACTGACTAATAATAACTCAGAATATTGTAATGAAGAGACCGAGTACATAACAAAAGGAAGTCGCTTTTGGCAAGTGTTTTGATACTCCAAACTTCGAGGAAAACACTATGGAGCTCTAAAGAGCAGGCTTTGCCCCAGTGGTAAGACATCTCAGCCTGTGCAAGTTCTGGACTGAAGTTCTACCAGGGCAGGAGCGACGTGTTTCTCGTTCATCCCCTGTAATTCATTATCTGGCACTTGCTTTTTTGACTCCATAAATGTGTAAGCATTATTTCTATGTTCAGGCTGATCTGCACCCTAAAGATCACAGCAGATAACAGAAACAGCTACTGTGCCACCTAGAGGAGCTCTATTCCAATTCAAACAAAATTCTTCAACTTTGCCCTTCCGTCATGAACAGTTAGACACCTGCGTTACTTCACATTTTATAACACACATAAACGTTAACAGTGATCACAGCTCAAATCTTCTTTTTCAGGTCCCCTCCCCTCCACCTTCTATTGTTTTGAGACAGGGTCTTGCTACAGAGCCCAGGCTGACCTTGAACTTCTTCAATACTTCTGTCTCTGTGTCCAGAATGCTAAGATAAGTACATGCCACATCTGGCTCTGCCACATCTGGTTCTCATTTATAATCCTACAGCTAGGACATCTTTATAAATCTGAAATGGCTCATCTCCATCATTAATTTGATGGGATCACAAATCACCTGGGTCTGTCTAGGTGAGATTATCTTGGTTAGGTAACTGAGGTTGGAAGATCTGCCCCCTGTGGGGTGCGACTCTGTGGGGTGGGCCTGGACCACAGAAAAAGAAGAGGAAAGCTAGCTGAGCAGCCGCATCAGATCCTCACCTCTCAGCTTTGTACCTGTGAGGTGACCCACTGCTTCCGGCTTCCGTTGGCCTGACCTCCCACCATAACATACCCTTGAACTGTGAGCTAGAATAAATTCTTTTCCTTTCAGTACTTTTACCAATCAACAGAAGAGAACTAAGACAAATCATTCATAAACCTCCACGTGTCGCTCACCTCTCCCTTGAAGAAAGGATTCACTGAAGTGTGGGGCAAGATGACCAAGCTGTCAGCTTCATCAGGCTTACCCGAACTTCCTAGTCAAGTGCTGCTCCAACGACCAGTGTCTAGGCACCTCCACCTGCCATTCTGCCCTGACAGGCAAGCTTCGCTCTGGAGCTATGGCCTGTCAGCCTGTGATGGCTTGGCATCGCCTGCCAGCTTTTCCTGCCTAATTCCACCCCCTTCCTTTTCCTTTCAGACAAGTTAATTCCACAGAACCTTTTCATACTTTTCAGCATCCCCTCCCAAGAGAGCCACATGATAAATCAAAGATAAGTTTGTCTCCAGTCCCGTAGGCAAACTCATTCTACACTCACCTACATAGTAAGTAATGCTTAGCAGTTTTTCCACACTGCGATGTTGACCCATGCCCCCTAAAATACTTTATACCTAGTATGGATCATTTTTTCTTCACATAAACACCGTACTTTTTACTAACAAAAATTTTATATAATTAATTATATACTACAAAATATTATTGATTTAAGTGGTAATAGTTCACTGATTAAATATTTTACTGTACTGGCTAAAGAAATGATTACCCAGGGCTGGAGAGATGGCTCAGTGGTTAAGAGCACTGGCTGCTCTTCCAGAGGACCCGGGTTTGATTCCCAGATTCCATATGGCAGCTCACAACTGTCTGTAACTCTAGTTCCAGAGAATCCAACACCCTCATACAGACATACATGCAGGCAAAACATCAATGCACATAAAATAAATAAATCTTAAAAAAAAAAAAAAAATTACCCCCAAATGGTTTTGAAGTAGAAATATACCATCAGTGTAGCACCACCTAGTGGTAGACAGCAGGAACTGTTACTACTCCATCTGTAGATGAAAGGGAGACCAGGCTGTACTGCTGTCACTTTCGCCCACCTAACTCAGGGTTTTAAAAGATGGTCCAAGAGTCAAACAGAAAGTGCCTCCATGCTGAATCAGGCCTTGAACTCTGACCCATGATATCAAGGGGTCATTTTCCCTTCTCACAGCTTCAAGCACAGGCACCCCTTTGCTCTGTGCCCATCACGGGCACACGTGGTTCATTTTGCTGTTGCACCCGAGTACCTGACAGCTTCTAACATTTCGATCTGTTGGTGACTGAATGCCAGCTCTAGAGGGCACAACCTTTGTTCATCTTATTCATCCCGTGCTCAGCGCTTTCGGAATAAATGGATGCATCTTCACTAATGATCGGTGAATGCTCACCCTTGGAACTAGAAGGCATGAGACTCCATTGAGGGAAGAATCTTACTGTAAACTTAAGAGGTTTTCTGAGTAGAATGAATTGATCTACGAGAGAAGGGTCATGGCCTGTTGAAGAACCGAAAGACCTGGTCGGAAAAACTATACAACCATGGTCTAGGAGTGTTCAAAGCACATTCCTGAAAACCAACGGGAGATGGCAGCCGTCATCTACCAGCCACAGCTCTGATGAGCACGCAGCTGTGCTTGCAGATCTACAGGAATGTGGAACTGTTTCCTCGGGAAGCACTAATTCTCCTATTCAAGGAGGCGCAGTAAAGAATTGCCAACGTGACCCCTTCATGGTATGGTTAAGGTTTTCACTGTGACTATGAGAAAACACCCAAAGGCAACTACAGGAGGACAGACGGACTGGACATGCGGGGCCGGGGAAGTGGACAGTGGGAGGGAACAGTGCAGACAACAGACTAGAGCACAACCAGAGACAGAGAAATGGAGAAAGGGGAGAACAGCAAGGGGGGGGGGGGGTAATGCTGGAACAGGAGATTAGGGTAGGGGCTTTGAGATGTGTAACAAGTACTTGTGAACAGGGACTAAGGGGGCCTGGAGGCTGGCATGGGCTTCGATATGCAGCCACAGGTATATGTTAATGGATCCATGTCTTTCTGCCAGAGATAAGAGAACCTACTCCTTTTGGCAGATGGGAACAGGTTTCACAACTTCCTGAGGAATGATGGCTTTTATCTAACTGCCAGAAATCTTCCTATAATCCAGGTTAAACTGGGCCTACTCAATTTTGGAGACGTCTGTGGGCCTGCCCATTTGGTAGAGATAAGGGTATCCTTTGGAACTGATACTGAACAATATAGTTGGAGATCTTAGGCTTGACTAAGGAACACCACAAGACAGAACTTACTGACTTACAGATAAAATAGTTCAATTAAGCTGGTTCTCTTGGCACACACCTTTGGTCTCAGCACTCAGGAAGCAGAGGCAGGCTGATCTACACAGTAAATTCCACGCCAGACAGAGCTACATAGTGAGATCCTGTATCAAAACCAAAATGACAAAAACCACACACCATAAAATGTTAATTAGAAAAAAATCATTTATTTCTGCTCCTTCCATACATCATATTGTCTAGGAAACAGTCTCCCATATGTGTCTGAAATGGCAGAGTACCACACACACCATTTAAAGGCAAAGCACCGCTGGAGGAACTGACCAGTTGTCCAAGTATCTCGGCTCTCACGATATACTTCTCGATTTGCATTAATTTCTGAAAATCAGAAATACCATGTCCAAAAAATAATAAGGGGGCTGTAAAAAATAATCACTTTATTCAATACCAAAGTTTTAGAAATGGAGTATATTTTCTTTAGCAAATAAAAAAACTAAGAAGAAAATGCCATTAGACATAGTTGGTATATCAGAATAGGTCATCAGAAAAAATACTGTAATGAATTTGTCTCTGATGCCATGAATTCCAGTCCTAGCTTTCAGATGCTTGCTAGGGTGTCACTCGACGCTGCTCTTCCTCTGCTCTTCATTCTTTTCCACACTGCACAAGGGAATGGCTCAGCCTTTAATGCTGCATCGACAGGAGCCAATCCAGGACTCACTGACTTCTCCAAAGGCACTAGCCCATCAGGTAGCCCCTGCAGAAATAATTCATAAACACAGAAAGTGAACAGGAAGCAACAATTCAAAAGTGCCCACTCATTAGGAATCAAATGACAATCCCAAAGTCCCAGTGCTGCTACTCATCATCACCCTTGGTTCATGCCAATAAATAAGTGGACTTCCTGTTACTCTTCCCTCTCAAAGTAAAACATCACAAAGCAATACGCAAACTAACATAAATTTTATTGTAGAATATTAGTTTAAGATGTGTTACACTCGTCTATGCTGTGGAATATTTATTTAATGATGCAAAGATATACTGTATTCTTTTTTGTTGTTGTTATTGTTGTTTTGAGACAGGGTTTCTCTGCGTAGCTTTGCCCCTTTCCTGGAACTCACTCTGTAGCCCAGGCTGGCCTCAAACTCAGAGATCCGCCTGGCTCTGCCTCCCGAGTGCTGGGATTAAAGGTGTGCGCCACCACTGCCCGGCTGTACTGTATTCTTTTGTCAGGATT